TGCCTTTTAAAGGAACCCAACCACCGTGTTGGATCGAAGCCCAAAGACTTGACGGTAGACGGCGGAAATCGCCTAAGGCGCTCTCAGCAGAATTTGCAGCCCAAATGCAATTTTTAAATTTCAGATTTCTCAAGGGAAGAGCAACTCCGCTGTTAGAAACGAGAAGAGAGGGTGGCGCGTGCTGGCGTGGTTATCGGCAGAGCGGAGCTGTATTTATCTTTCCGATTCAAATTTTGCCAGATTCTGGCTTTAAAATCAATCATGGGAATATTTGAGAACGTGGAATCTCGCCATTGTTCCGGGCTCACGGCAAAGGAGGCAATGGTTGCTATTTTATCATGGTTAGAGGAGAAAAAAAAATACCTGTATTTTATTCTTTTGTGTGATGAGCATCATCATAAGGCAGGAAATGAGCCTAACAGAGAAAGAGACCTGGTTTCAATATACAAGCTCAGTCTTGCAGTGTCCTTTGAGTTCATGCAGTAGTTTCTTCCATTATTCTTTTCAACAGCTCTCTACTTAACATATTTAAAGTCTATTTACAGGATTTCATTTGTCTTGGTGTCACATATAGATCAATTTTTATAAAACATTTTAATATGAAAAAATTACAATGTCTTTACAGTCTTTTTAAAGACTCTCCACAATTCGACCAATAACTTTTTTTTTCACTTTTTAATCAGAGGATTAAAGTTTGATGTTTCAGCCTGGGAATTCTGATGGGTGGGGGTGGGGGTTAAAACTAGATCTAAAAAAGAAGATCAAAATCTGGTAATTAGGCACCACAAAGGTTTCACATAGTCAGTGTCAGACTTCTAAAATAGCAGTTCATTTTTTAAAACAGTCTCTCTTTAGCTATATTTCAGAATTTCTCTAATGATCTGAGATGAAGAGAAGTTTACATTTAACATTTGTTATATATAAAATATTTAGGTGGCTTAAAATTGTGCAACGTTCATTATAACACGTGTTGAAAAGCAGATAATCATTAAAGAGATTTACATTTCCTCTATAGGCTTGCTTTTTGTGCTTTTCAGGAAAAAAGGAAGTGAAGGGGTAAGTTTAGGGAAAGAAATCGTTTGCTTTTTTTCTTTCATTTTTAAGTTATTCCTCTACCATAGACTTTTCGATTTAGGAGAACAGAAGACTTGGATCTTAGTGGACAGAATTTTCTTAATGTATAAAATGTTGGCTGGCTACAAGGAGGCAATTTTAAAGAAACAAGTTAGCGTTCCCTCCTTACCACTCCCCCTTTATTTGCAGTATCCATTATTTGGTTGTAAGAAGTCATTCATCTGAGCAGACTGACAGACTGCTCCTTCAGTGCAGAACATGGGATATTAGGTGTTGTTCGTAGATGGGGCAGAGTGGGGCTAGTGAAAGAGCAGGGAAAGGTTAACTATATAGTCATGTCCAAGTAAAATGAAGAAATTAATATTAAATGAATAAAATGAATGTTAGGTGAGACAAAAGCATAAGGGGAAAATGATATCAATCTATCAATAAGTCCGAATAAGTATTTGTGATATTCAGCAACAATTCCAGAGTTCATGAAACAAGACCATCAGGAGAATGCTGTTCATTCATTCATTCATTCACCATCATCCACCTAGAGACTTCAATTTCCCAGGCACTTGCAGTTGGTAATTACTCACTGGGAACCTTGAATTAATCTCTTAGAATATTCCTCACACGGTACCTTGTGTTAGTTATCTTTACTCCATCGGAGCCTGACCAACACTTGGCATATTAGATGTTAAATAAATGTACGTTGAATGAATAAAGGAAGGGACCACTGATCTTTCTTAGCTATTCATTAACGAAGGGAGCTACCCCTTTAAAATTGTGTATAAATTAGCATTTTTTTTTTAGGGAAGGAAAGACTCGTTGCCCTCAGTTTTTCCTGTATCCAGTGAATACTCAGGATGGCATTTCCTTCATCTGCTTACTAACAGGGCAGTGGTCTTTATAATTTAATGAATTCAATATATTATGTGCATATTTCATAATAGAAAAGTATTAGCGACCAACTCTGCAATCTGATGCACTTCTTTGTCCTTTCAATAAAAGACATGTCGTAAATATTTTTTGCTATTTCAGTTTTATGTTGCTGTATGAGCCTTTATTGGTGAAGATACTGACGGGCAGACCTCAGAGATATTGCATGTTCAGTTCCAGACCATCGCAATAAAGTGAGTCACGTAAATTTTGGGTTTCCCAGTGCATATAAAAGTCTGTTTACTCTAGACTGTGGTCGGTTAAGTGTGCAATAGCATTTATGTCTAAAGAAAACAATGTACACACCTTAATGTTAAAACACTTTGTTGCTAAAAAATGCTAACCATCATCTGAGCCCTCAGCGAGGGTAATCTTTTTGCTGGTAGAGGGTCTTGCCTTGGTGTTGGTGGCTGCTAACTGATGAGGGTGGTGATTGCTGTAAGCTGGGCAGCTAAAGCAATTTCTTACAATAAGACAACAATGAAGTTTGCTACATTGATTGACTCTTCCTTTCAGGAATGATTTCTCTGTAGCATGCAATGCTGTTTGATAGCATTTTACCCACATTTAGAAACTTTTTCAAAATTGGAGGCTTGCAGCCCCTGATGCTATTTTATCAACTAAGTTGATGGAATATTCTAAATCCTCTGATGTCATTTCACAGTCTTCACAGCATCGTCACCAAGAGTAGAGTCTATCTCAGGAAACCACTTTCTTTGCTCTTCCATAAGAAACAACTCCTCATCCATTAAAGTTTTATCATGAGATGGCAGCAATTCAGTCACATCTTTGGGCTCCACTTCTAATTCAAGTTCTTTTGCTATTTCCACCACATCTTCAGTGATTTCCATCACCAAAGTCTTGAACCCCTCAGTGTCATCCATGTGGGTTGAAATCAACTTCTTCTAAACTCTCATTCATGTTGATATTTTGTCTTCGTCCCATGAATCACAAATGTTCTTAATGGCATCTAGAATGGGGAATCCTTTCCAGAAGATTTTCAATTGACTTTGCCCAGATCCATCCAAGGAATCACTATCTACGACAGCTTCAGCTTATGAAATGTGGAATAAGACTTGAAAATCAAAATCACTCCTTCTTTCACGGGCTGCAGAATGGATGCTGTGTTAGCAGACAAGGACATAACGGTAATCTACGTCTCCGTCAGAGCTCTTGAGTGACCAAGTGCATTGTCAGTGAGCAATCATATTTTGAAAGTAATCTTTTATTTTTTTCCTAAACAATAGATCTCCATAGTGGGCCTAAACATTTAGTAAACTGTGCTGTCTGTCATCTAGGCTTTGGTATTCCATGGTCAGAGCCTAAGCAGGGTAAATTTAGCATCATTCTGATGGACCCTAGGGTTTTCAGGTGGTAAATGAGCACTGGCTCAACTTAAAGCACCAGCTGCATTAACCCCTACAAGAGGGTCAGCCCGTCCTTTAAAGCTTGGAAGCCAGGCATTGACTTCTCCTCTCCAGCTATGAAAGTCCTAGAGCACATCTTCTTCCAGTGGAAGATTGTTTTGCTTACACTGAAAATCTTGTTGAGCGTAGCTACCTTCATGAATTAGCTAGATCTCCTGGATAACTTGCAGCTTCTGTATCACCACTGGCTGCCTTGCCTTGCATATTCACATCATGAAGATGGCTTCTTACCTTGAACCTCATGAACCAACCTCTGCCAGCTTCAGACTTCTCTTCTGCAGCTTCCTCAGCTCTCTCTGCCTTCATAGAATGGAAGGGAGTTGGGGCCTCGCTCTCGGTTAGGCTTTGGCTTAAGGGAATGCTGCGACTGGTTGGATCTTCTACCCAGCCCACTCACACTTTCTCCATCTCAGTGAAAAGGCTGTTTGCTTTCCTATCACTGTGTGTTCACTGGAACAGCATTTTCAGTTTCCTTCAAGAATGTTTCCTTTGCGTTCACAGCTTCAACTGTTTGGTTCAAGAGCCCTACCTAGCTTTTGGCCTGTCTCACTTCCAACGTGCCCTCCTAAGCTTAATCATTTTTAGCTTTTGAATTAAAGTGAGAGATGTGTGTCTCTTCCTTTCACTTGAACTCTTAGAGGCCACTGTAGGGTTATTAATTGGCTTAATTTCAATATTGTTGTATCTCAGGGAATAGGGAGGCCTGAGGACAGGAAGAGAGATGGGGAATGGCAGGTCAACGGAGCAGTGAGGATGCCTGACGTATATGGATTAAGTTGCCCATGTGGGTGCAGTCCGTGGTGCCCCCAAAGCAATTACAATAGTACATCAAAGGTCACTGATCACAGAGCACCATAACAAATAAAATAATAGTGAACAATTTGAAATACTGAGAGCATTACCGAAGTGTGACGGAGACACAAAGTGAGCACGTGCTGTTGGAAAAATGGTAATGATAAACTTGCTCTCTGCAGGGTTGTCACGGACCTTCAATTAGTTAAAAAAAAATTAAAATAATATATATACACACACACACACACACACACACAATAAGTGGAATAAAATAAAGCACTATAGAATGAGATATACCTATAATTTAAAATGCTCCAGTGCTAGGGCCATGGGAATAGCTCAGCGGTAGAGCGCATGCTTAGGTCCTGGGTTCAATCCCTAGTGCTTCCATTAAAAAGATTTTTAAATAAAATAGAATTTTAAAGTGCTAAATTGTCACAGTTGCCTATGTAGGTGCTCTTCATTTCTTTTTGGGGCCATTTGAAACCTTGTCTAATTTCAGTGGTTCTAATATATGTGTATATGTAAACAGACACACACACACATACCACATATATACACACATATATACCCATATAGTCATGGTCTATCCTAAATTTGCCCCTATTCCCAGGATGATTCATTTCTGTTACTTTAAAGCTAAGAAAATTAAACTACTCTTCTAAAATGATCAGCAACACACATTTACTTAACCTCCACATGTACAGAGCGCTCTGTTAGGCAGCATTAATATCATGAACATAATTAAGTCATTTCCCCTTCTCTCTATTGGAGTCTAACAGAGGACTAACCAGAGACATTGAAGGCACTCTGAAGTTTCGACTCAAAACCACACTGTTTCAATTAGCACAAACTCTGCTGCATATCCCCTTACTTCAGACTTCAGACAGTAATATTTTTCTCTCAAGGGGTGTCACCCTTCAGTTACATGTGGCAAGAAAGTGCCAAGCCATCATGCCACCTACTAGCCCGTTTCTCTCTTGCCCTTTCTTGTTCCTACCTTGGTCAGGGGAGGCAATCGGTAACTCCTATGAACAATGAAAAAGGATTGTTTCCCAAAAGTGAGTCAAGAGAAGACGACGCAGGATCACGCTAACAAATGGGCTGTGCGCATGATGCGTGTAAATAGGATGGTGAGCAACCTAGGTGGACTGACTTCTGCCCCAGTTACCCTTTTTAACTTGAGGCTGCATCAGTGTAAATGGTTGGTTAGGGTCTAAGAATTAATGAGTAAGTTCCTGAGCGCTTGAATTCATTTATCTTGAAAGGGATGTAATTAGCTTTCAGAAATTCATTCAACATAGACTCAGGTGTAGAAGTTGTGGAAAGCTAAAACTTTAAAGTTTTCCCATGGTGCAACGATGCTTATATCATCCTATATGAAGATTGCTGTGTATAAACTTGAAATTAAAGTTATTTGTGATGAATGTATGTACACAATATGATTTTCTATTTAGAAATGTACTGGAGCAGGACTTACAAGTTCTTTATGTGTATTTATTTATTTGTGGGGTTTTTTTTAGGGGAGGAGGTAATTAGGTTTACTTATTTATTATTATTATTGTTTTATTGAACGGAAGTACGGGGGATCGAACCCCTGACCTCATGCATGCTAAGCATACAGTCCACCACTGAGCTATACCCTCCCCCCTTACACATCCCTTATAAATTAAAGATACTAGTGTTTACTATTAATGTAAATAGATATGTATTTTTACAGTTTTAAGTATATTTATCCAACTATTGATCTAGAAACAGGTTGATAAACATGTATCAATATGTAGGGAAAATGCTTTTTATAAACCCTCTATATTTCAAGATCTCTATAACGATGTATATTCATCAGAATTAATTAACTGTTGCTGTCCTGAGTATTCTGTAAGATGTTATTAGTTAAAAAAAAAAGGAAGTGCTTACTTTTTTAAAAGGGAGGATGCATCCCTTATGCCGCTTACTGGTGTATTCTAGGCAGTTTTGTCCTTCATTCGACAATACTGCCAGGTGGCTTATGTATGTAGTGGTATGTGTCATTAATAATATTACAGTATTAATTTCCTTGAAATGAAAACACTTATTATGGGATTTTATATCAATATCACAGCTACATTTAACATTATGCTATGATAGTTTCCTTAAACAACATGAATTTATTCTGTCCTTTGAAAGCTGAAATTAATTTTCAATTTTTAAATGAAAAGACAAACAGGTAATTTTTGATTTAAAAAAAACCAGAAGCCAGCTGAGCTGGTCAGTGGTTTAATTTATGATAGTCTGCACGTCTCAGAGGATTGACAATTGCTCTTGGGATGATTTTGCTCACCAGGATTGTGTTCACACAGTCAGCAGTACCACTTGATAAACACTTATTTAGTGCCTACTGTATACATGTAGGTTCTGGGGTAGCGTTTCTGTACTTGAGAGGCTCAAATCTGAAGACCTCATGAATTGGATATATTTAGGATACTAAACTTTTGTTTGAACTTTTCATCTTCCCATAAATATTTTTTTTGTTTGAATTTCTCATGTTCTTGTAAATATTTATTTAACACCTGGAATGGTGAACTTACCAGGCCGTGTTTTATGGTAGATAGCATGGTGCAGAAGGGACAGTTTCTGCTTTTCCATTGCTTATACTAAGTAAGGGAGACAGGTTTGCCTTGTAATTGCAGTGCAAAGCGAATTGGGTCATGTAGCATCAGACAGCTATAAACAGAAGAAAGTGGGGCTTCCGAAAGATCACATCTAGTTGAACAGCCCTGGGAACACTTTAGGGCAGATGACTTTTAAGTGTGACCTTGGTTGAAGTAGGAAAGGAAGGAATGTTTAAGGTAAGATTATGTGACTACAGTTTGTATCAGGTACCTTGAATAGAGATCACTCTTAATTAGCTGTTATAGAGATCTTGGGTTCTTACCCACATTTGCCTTTTCCTTCCCTTACATTATTTCTACATCAATTTGAAAAACAAGGTCTACTATTTTAACACAAGTTAACACACCCCATAGAGGTGATGACAGATTTAAACTTACTGTAATTATCATTGGCCATATCAGTGTCTGGTATTTGCACTATACTTGGAGCCAGTTAAAGATCTCACTAAACTGGTGGGGGTATATATCTCAGTAGTAGAGCATGTGCTTAGCATGTGCAAGGTCGGTTCAATCCCCAGTACCTCTACTAAAAAAAAAGAAAAGAAAAGAAAAAAAACGCTAAACTTTCTTAAGAGATTTATAAGGTAATGGGAGCAGATGTGAAATTTTGTTTTTTTCTTAGTGGATTAATATACAGTAGTCATGTAATTTGTTTTCAAGTTGCCAACTAATGTCTTTCTATTTCCAGCAGGAGTCTAATATGGATTCAGAACTCAAGGATGTTTACAACAGGACACTTGCCGCAGAGAACAATACTGCTGGCACTCGGAATTCGGATTTCCCAGTCTGGGACGACTATAAAAGCAGTGTCGATGACTTGCAGTATTTTCTGATCGGACTCTATACATTTGTAAGTCTTCTTGGTTTTCTGGGGAATCTACTTATTTTAATGGCCCTCATCAGAAAGCGAAATCAGAAGACGACAGTCAACTTCCTCATAGGGAATCTGGCCTTCTCCGACATCCTGGTTGTGCTGTTCTGCTCACCCTTCACGCTGACCTCTGTCTTGCTGGATCAGTGGATGTTTGGCAAAGTCATGTGTCACATTATGCCTTTCCTGCAGTGTGTGACGGTTCTGGTCTCAACATTAATTTTAATATCAATTGCCATTGTCAGGTATCATATGATAAAGCATCCTGTGTCTAATCATCTGACAGCCAACCATGGCTATTTCCTGATAGCCACCGTCTGGACGCTAGGTTTTGCGATTTGTTCCCCCCTCCCAGTGTTTCACAGCCTCGTGGAACTTCAGGAGACGTTTGGCACCGCCTTGCTGAGCAGCCGGTACTTATGCGTGGAGTCCTGGCCGTCGGATTCCTACCGAATTGCTTTCACTATCTCTTTATTGCTGGTGCAGTATATCCTGCCCCTAGTTTGTCTGACTGTAAGCCATACCAGTGTCTGCCGGAGCATCAGCTGTGGACTGGCCCACAAAGAAAACAAGCTAGAAGAAAATGAGATGATCAACTTAACTCTTCACCCCTCCAAAAAGAGCGGGGCTCAGGTGAAGCTGTCCAGCAGCCGCAAGTGGAGCTATTCGTTCATCAGAAAACACAGGAGGAGATACAGCAAGAGGAAAGCGTGCGTGCGCCCGGCTCCGGCAAGACCTCCCCAGGAGAACCGGCCCCGGGCGTTTCCAGAACGCCCCGGCTCCGCGAAAAGTCAGCTGCCTTCATCCAGTAAGTTCATGCCGGGGGTCCCCACCTGCTTCGAGGTGAAACCCGAAGAAAACTCGGATGTTCCTGAGATGAGAGTCACCCGTTCTATCATGAGGATAAAAAAGCGATCTCGGAGTGTCTTCTACAGACTGACCGTCCTGATTTTAGTGTTTGCCGTTAGCTGGATGCCGCTGCACCTTTTCCACGTGGTGACTGACTTCAACGACAACTTGATTTCAAACAGGCACTTCAAGCTGGTGTACTGTATCTGTCACTTGTTAGGCATGATGTCCTGCTGTCTCAATCCAATTCTATACGGATTTCTTAATAATGGGGTCAAAGCTGATTTGATGTCCCTTATACACTGTCTTCATATGTCGTGAATCTCTGTGTTTACTGAGGGAAGAACAAACATTGGGATCATCTCAAATATGTTCACAATGACTATATATGGGTAGTAAACAAACTTTGTTAAACACATGGAATTTTGTTTATGTATAAAATCTCTGGGTTTGAATGTCAGTTCATAATATAGGGAAGATAATTTTAATACGTTATAATCCGATGCATTCATTTAGTTGCATAAAGTCATTGTCAATCCAATCGGTAATTCCATTAAAAAAAGTAGTTATATTACTTTTTATTTCAGCTTGTCTTGTGAACAAATGAATTGTATGTTCTTGCTTAAAATAAAAGTTAGCTCTAACCATCTCAGTATGTTTTTCAAAATTATAATAAGCAAAAATAATTTTCCTAGGGCACATTTAATTTCCAGTAGGAAGAATATCTATTAATCTTCATTTTTACTTCACAGACTTCTTAATATTTAGTGTGTGAAAATACAGAAAGTATTTTCCATATTTTAATATGCTCAGCAAACCATAACTAAGTAACAGGTACACCCAAGTCATGACTTTCACTAACTCTGGATACAGTTTTGGAACTCCTACAGGAAAATGCTTTTTTCCTAGTATTGATAATCGGTCAAATTGTCAATTTATCCCTTAGTAATCGTAGTAATACAGTTAATTTATCAATTAAATGCAGATTTTAAAATCTTTTCTAGACTTATACCATGATATTAACACTATCAAGTAAAGATTGTTTTCATATACCTCTTTTATATTCTAAGAAGTGAAATATAAACGATATCTGTATTTCCAAGTATTAAATAATGGTAAAAAATACTTAAAATTTCTACAGGGAATAAAAAAGACTAGTTAATTTTTTTGGCCAAGATAATAAAATGATTGATATATTTTATACTATTTTGGTACTGAGGTCTCGTATGCTGTCTTACTAAATTGAGGCCAGTCTTTTCAACTAGAGCTTTTTGTTTCTTTCGACCAGTTTGTTTGTTTGTTTATATAACTGGGTCCCTGAAAATAATTGAATATTTTCACATAGGCTCAGATGTGCAAAATAATAATGCTGTCTTCAGGTCCCATCACTGACTTAGCCGTCCTCCATGTTGATTCCTGTTCATAAGGGAAAACAACTAAACAAAACAAGAACTGTTTCAGTGTTCAAGTAATAGATAATTCTGGTAATTACTGAATCAACTCAAAGGCCAGTCTTGCCCCCAGGGCTTTCTTTTGGCCCCTCCTTCCCTAGATGACACCCACATGTGGGGGAAACGGAAGATGCTGCTGGTCCACACTTGCGCTCTGGGGGTTCCTGCCTGACTCCAGGCGATAAGTAATTAGTCTTGCCTGATCGCTGTGTTGCCTCTGCCTGTGCTGTGTTCATAGCAGGGTCAGAGCCCGAGGGTCCAGCCCCAACAAGCCCCCCGGGCCAAGACGTTGTAAACTCACTGACTCTGGTTCATTGAATCTCAGCCACATCCTCCAATTTGTTCTGAGCCTGGGCTGTCCGCTTTGTGGGGTCTGGCCCCTGTCAAGTCTAGGGACTATCCAGAAACTTTAAATTCACCACAAGAACTCTTGAGAAACTTGAACTTCTGTTAGAGCAGGCAGATAGCTAGATATGAGCAGAGAAAAGGGGACACAGGCCACATGGCAGGAATTGGGAAGAAAGGAGGGACACAGGCCAAATACAGGAAACCCTACATAATGTAAGCACCTCGTCAGAGAAAGAAAAGCAGTGGTCACAACTCTGGGGGTGATAAGCAGCCTGGGGCCAACAAAGAAAGGTGGAAAAAGGCAGGAATCTCCAGTGTCCGAATGTAACCTTTTACTCATTATGCTCTCATTTCAATAAAATTAGCCTTGCAGATTAGAGGTAACCATCACAAAACGACATCATGACACTTCTGATCCAGACCAAATAGCGACAGAAATCCCTCCTCCCTTCAGGAAGGTGGAGCTGGGATGAAAATCAGGGAATAAGACCCCAAACCCCTCCCCTCCCCCAATGAATATTCTGCCCATTCATTTTACACCCTATGTAACCAACTTGCCAAAGAAACGCCGGGCAGCCGCTCACCTGCCCGCTCTCCCCTTGGGAGTGCACTATCCATCCCTTAATAAATCCTCACTTTACTTTATTAACCTCTGTGTCTTGTCTCTGAATTCTTTCTGGGATGGGAAAGAACCTGCACACCAGTTGCGTCTACTGGCAACACTTCTGCTGCACACATGGCACGGGCAGCATGGGCTTCCGCGGCTTGCTCTGCACAAACACTATGAGCCCCCATGTCCGTGCTTTTGTGCTCACACCATGTGGCTACAAAAGTGTTCTGCTTTTCAGTCCCTTTCTAGATATTCAAATGTGAAATTAGGTTAAAGTCCCTTCTGCTTTTAGCTTCCCTCTAATCTGTCTGGTGCCATCTGACTGCCGCCCGCCCCGCCAAGTTTTGATATGGCAGCAGAGAGACCCAGCGAACAAACTCTGGTTCACTTTGGCTTTTCCTTCCTTTTCTTCTTTTTATTCTAAGGGCATCTGCTTCTTCCTGCCCGCCAAGAATGGCCCTTGCTAATAAAACCTTCATTTTTACCCCTACACTGTAGTTTATGGTAAAACCACATTCAGAATACTTAGGTTTGTTTTTAGAAAACGAAGCCTTTATGATTTAAAACGTCTCTCTCCTTTAAATGCTTGGATTCAAAACTGTTGTCTCACCCCAGACCCCAGACAAAAAAATCTTTTAAATCAGTCTCTGATTTAAAAGAAATGCTTATTTTCACTTTCACTGGGGCAATCGATTTCAAGGTTTAACTTTAGCAGCCAAAGTGGGAAAAGCTCGCTGATATGGGCAAATATAAACACATGGGGGATATTTTATCCTGTTTGAGTGACTTACATTAGCAAATGTACAACGACTGTCAGACTTCACAGATTTTATGGTTGCTGATAGATGACTTTAGTTAAACTGGATAAACTAATTCGGGGCTCTTCAACTATTGAACTCAAAGGAAGCCATTTATCTTCCCCAACCAGAAACGACTGAATGTTTTTAACAATCAAAAGTTGAGAAGTTTAAATGGATTGCTGGATAGAAGTCATTAAGAGGACGATTGATGGTTTCAGGAGATGATTGTGAATAATAATTTCTTCAACGGAGACTTGCTTTGTGAGTTAAACAATTTGTATTCAATCTACTTTCCATTGCTCAAGAGCTGATTATCTGACTTTTTTTCCTTATTGTCTCTCAGTGTCTGAGTTGATTGCTTGTTTCGTAACACCTCTGCAAAGCATGGCTAGTAAGTGGTGATGAAATTATAAATGGTCAGCCTGGTCTCTGTGATCACTAGATTTTAACAATTATTTAGAAATACTTAATTCAGGAAGAGACGTTAAATTGAGTTTTGGTGGCTATTTTTAATTATTCTTGCTAGCTGTGGATAATAAAACAGTAAATAAAAAAAAGTAACCTGGGAAATGCACAGAGTATCTAAAATGATTAAATGGTGAAGAAATGTATGTATGAGGATTATTTTATTCATTATTTATTAAATAGCTACTGTGTACCAAGACCTCTTCTAGGTGTTTGGGACACAGCAATGGAAAAAATGAAAAAATCCGTCCTAGTCTGATGTTTGCCTTCTGGAGCCAGGGATGGGGGTCAGTGGCATGAAGTGGACAAACATACATGATAAGAACAATAAAAGGTGAATTACATAGTAATGATCTAGTACATAGATGGGTGTACTTATTTCCTGGCACGCCTTAAGCTGGGTGGACTGAAACAATAAAAACTCACTGTCTGACAGTTCTGAAAGCTAAAAATCTGAAATCAATACGTCTGCAGGGCAACGCTCCAATGAAACTTGCCTCTTCCTGTTACTGAGTCCAAGCTCATATTGCTTACCACACGACTGGCCGGTAAAGCAAGGGACGAGTAGTTGGGGAAAGGAATAGCAACTTCATTTGGAAAGCCAGCAGACCGAGAAGATGGTGGACAGGTGTCCCAAAGAACCATCTTGCCTAAGTTAGAGTCCATGCTTCTTTTATACTCAAAAGGGAGGGTATAAAATCGAACATTTCCTGACTCCTGTCAGCCTCCAGAGAAGATGTGTTAATTTCTTCCAGCCTGCAGCCATTCACAGGTGAGCCTGGTCAGGGTGTTTCCTGCGAGCTAAACTAAGGTATTTTAGCTTAATGCTAATTACCTAGGGGGCAGGGTTCCCAGAGATGGGCCATTATGTATAATTTAAGCTTATAGGCAACATCCCTTTAGTGATTAACTTTGAAGGCAATAGAATACAAAGATTAAAGTAAAAGAAGTAGATCCAATATGGAGTCAGATTTGTTCTTCCCTATTTCGCTCCTAGTTCTGTTATTAGCTGGCAATTTTTGGTGGTCCTGGAAGGTGTATACCTCCATCTCTGCCTTTGTCTGTGTGTGTATGTTTATATATATATATATAAACTACATATATAGTTGACTCTTGAACAACATGGGTTTGAACTGTGCAGATCCACTTATATGTGGATTTTTTTTCAACAAATATATTGGGAAAATGGATATTTGTGACAATTTGAATACACTCACAGATGAACTGCACAGCCTAGAAATAGCAAAAAAAAATTTAAGATAAACTTAGATATGACATGAATGCATAAAACGTATGTAGATACCAGTCTATTTTATCACTTGCTATCATAAAAAACACACAAATATATTACAAAAAGTTCCAATTTACCAAAACCCATGCACACAAACACTTCCCGACTGTACATGGCACTATTCGAAGTCAGAGAAATGCAAACCCAGGTAAAGATGCAGTTTAAATCACACCTGGATAAAGTTAACCACAGTTCATTCTTAATAACTTTGTAGACACCCCCTGTTCACCCACATTTTAGTGAATCATTTCTTTGACTAATTCTTTATCCCTTATGTATGTATGTATGTATTTAAAGGGAGTCTCAGCAGGTCCATCACACAAGTCTACATTTCCTAGTTGTCTCCTAGTTTGAAACTTCACATCCTCATCTTGGATTCGAGCTTGGATATCACTGCCATGTGAACTCCCTCATCCTTGAGATAAGACCTCCAGAGTGGCAGTAGTTTTCATCAAGCCTCAGCAAGTGACTTCGGGGCCTCAGCAAGTCTTGGGGGCTTGGATGGCTTGTGCAGGGGTTGTAAAGAGCCCCCTGCTCTCTGGAGGGAGGGGCGTTAGGACTGATGACCAGTGTCTTCCCTGCAGGGAGGGGAGCCAGAATAGAGAGCAGCGTTATTGCTCACGCACTCTGGTTTATCCTCTAATCCAGGCACATCTCTAGTACCTCTTTAAAATCAAACAAG